TTTACATGATAAAAACATACAACCAAACAGCCCCTAAGTGTATGTGTTGAGTTTTGCATTTATTTTCAAGATGCAGAGCTTAGAAACATGCTGTGCTTGAAACGAAGGGGTGAAAAAAATTGATTTTATTAATTATAGGAATAAAATAGCTACGGACTTGAGAGTTTACAGCCAGGTTATTATTTTATTAGTATAGTATTGATTGGTGGAGCATCTAATAAGGCAGAGATTGTACCATTCACCTGTGAATAAATAAATGATGTAGAACATAGTACGGACATATTTATGGAAAAACAGGACCAACACAAGCCCACACGCGGACCCGATTGAGGAAAATAACTTACACCGAAAAACGGATCATATCTCTCAAACCGTAAGTTAGAATTGGACGAATTCTATACTTAAATCGTGTATATTTTCGAGACGGAGTCAACCAAACCCATCGATGTTTTGTTTGCCACCGTCCGTTTCACCAAATTCCCTCCGAATTGAGAGATAGCAGTATTTTTTTAGTTTTTTACTATTTTAGGTAATATTTTAGGAGTCTGTTTTGATTAGGAAGCAAATCCGGGTTGATTTCAAATATGACATGATTTACTTTCCTAATCCTAGGGAGTCTTTTAGGAGGAGTTTTGTTATTTCTATTTTTGGTAAAGTTTCAGTTATAGTAGAAGTCTTGTTTGTTTTCTATTTAAGTAGAGTATTGTAAACCCTAGAGGAATAACTTTTATCAATAAAAATTTTCTTTTAATATTTTCTTCGTAGATTTGAAGTTTTTCGTGGTTTCGGAGATCATTTTTTGTGGATTCAGAGAACACCTAGTAGATTCCAAGATTATTACTTCCGCACTAAGTCAATAAATATATAATACAAATATATTTGAGGAATTACCCATCTTTTTATCTGTTTTTTCAGAGACATTACTGGGCAAGGACCTTACTCATGAAAAAAATTATTAATAAAAAGGTAAACTATGTACATCATTGTCGACTCTTAATAAAAGAGAAGCTAGTTATAGCACAATTATGTGTAATATGAGCTCGAACATATACCATACATATTTATATTCAACAGGGTAAAGAAAGGAATTTTGTCCTTATCCACCATCTTTTATCAGCTTAATCCTCTCTCTCTCTCTTCATATCAGATATCATGATCTTTGTCGAGGTTCTCTGAATCCACTATTGCTGGTGAGAATGACTGGCAGCAAGTGGATGTTTGAGAGGACCCGATGACACCAACCGAAACTGACGCTGCCTGCTTGGCCACGCCCTCGTCAAGTCAAAATAGTATGCCTGTAAGTAACAGCTTTTCTATTACAGTGTCCGAACCAAAATAGTCCATGATTAACATAATCCTAATTATTTTACCCTGGTTAAACTGAAAATTTTACTTTGGATTTTCTCATTTTGATTCTTTGATTGAAAATACAATCGCCAGCTTTGTTTCCAGATGAGCTAACAAAATTGCAAAGACCACACTATTTCATGCATTTGTTTTGTTTATGGGGGTGCATTCATGTTAGTGAATTAAGAGCTACTGTTTTACTCTGTCTTTTGTTCTGTTTCATGAAGGTCCTAGTCTTTAGGAGCACTAGCTGTTATCTCTATTTTTCAGGAGGTTAGTTGTTGTTTTTCAGATCAAGTAAGTGTCTAGGAAAGTGTCCCTGATAGTAGCAGAAAAAAAAGGAATTCAGTTATGGGTCATTGTGTATTTATTCTGCATTTTTACGATCAGTAAAATATTCCCATTTTCAGTTCTACTATCTTTGTCTATCTCCTTCCAAATAACAACAGTGGTATCAAAGCTACCTTGATCTTAAGGTGCTGCGAAAATAGCTCGTGAGAGTGATCGAGAGGTGAGTCTGCATTCAAAGAAGCTGAGTGAACATGGAAGCAAGTTCGAGCAGTCGTCCTGCCCTGGTTCCACCAATGTTCGATGAGGAGAACTCTCAAGCTTGGGCGGTAAAAATGCAAGCCTACATGGAGGGTTGTGATTACTGGGAAGCAGTAGAAGACAACTATGAGGTGGCTGCACTTCCTGACAATCCAACCCTGAATCAAATCAAAAATCACAAGGAGAGGAAAACTAGAAAAGCCAAGGCCAAAGCCTGTTCGTATGTTGTTGTTCCACCAGCCATTTTCAGAAGAATTATGGCTTTTTTTTTTGTTATCCCCCCAGCCATTTTCAGAAGAATTATGGCTTGTGAATCAGCTAAGGCAATTTGGGACTTCCTCAAAGCAGAGTACTAAGGAGATGAAAAGATCAAGAGCATGAAGGTGTTGAATTTGGTCAGCGAGTTTGAGAGATTGCAGATGAAAGAGTCTGAGACAATCAAAGAGTATTCGACCAAGTTGATTGACATTGCAAACAAGGCAAGAATGATTGGCACTAACCTCTCTGACAATAGGTTGGTGCAAAAGAGTCTGAGACAATCAAAGAGTATTCGACCAAGTTGATTGACATTGCAAACAAGGCAAGAATGATTGGCACTAACCTCTCTTTTCAGATCAAGCTATCAGAATTAGTCAGTGCGCTACAAGCACCTGAACAAAGGAGGTTGATGAGGCTGAAAAGAAGTGTTGAAGAGGCTCTAAGGGCCAAAGTGCAACATAGCTCTGAAGAAAAAGAGAAGAAGTGGAAAGGGAAGAAGGGAAGTGACAATAACTCAGAGGTTGATGCGGGAGAAGACAGTGCAAGCAATAAAGGAGGAAGATATTCTCCATGCAAGCACTGTGGTAGAAAGAATCATCGCCATTTTTTATGTTGGAGAAGGTCAGATGTAAGGTGCAGGAGATGTCAAAAAATGGGACAAATTGAGAAGTTTTGCAAGGAGAAGGGAGATCAGCAGCAAGGTGAAGAACATGTTGCAGTCCAGCAAGAGGTAGATCAGCTGTGTTGCCTCTTGTTTCATTTCTAGCACTCCATGTGACAACTGGCTTATTGATAGTGGTTGTACAAACCATATGACAAGTGATAAGAAACTATTTAGAAACTTTGATAAGTCAATAAAATCAAGGGTGAGAATTGAAAATGGAGAATACTTAGCAGTAGAGGGTCGAGGGACCGTGGCTATGAAGAGTTGTGAAAGGATTAAGCTGACTTTTGATGTAATGTATGTTCCTGACATTTATCAGAACCTGCTAAGTATGGGGCAGTTGGTAGCAAAGGGATTTAAGGTAACATTTGAAGAAGGAAAATGTTTGATCTTTGATTCTAGAGGTCAGGAGTTATTCAAGATAAAGATGTAGCAAAAAAGTTTTTCTCTGAATCCTCTCGAAAAGGAGCAAGTGGCATTCAAATATCAGGCCAATGATTCAGAGATAGGCACAAAAGATTGGGGCATTTTCACCATAAAGGCTTGCAGTTCATGCAAAAAAAATGAGATGACAAAAGGGTTACCAAACCTGGAGGAGCAACTCTCAAGCTGCAAAGCTTGTTTGATGGGCAAGCAAACCAGACTTCCCTTCAATGAATCAACTTGGAGAGCTACAGAGATGATGCAGCTGATTCGTACAGATCTTTGTGGTCCACAAGCAACTCCTTCACTAAGTGTCAGCAGGTATTTCATTATCTTCATTTATGACTATACAAGAATGTGCTGGATTAACTTCATGAAGCAAAAGTTAAAAGTTGCTGAACTATTTTTGCAGTTTAAAATATGGATTGAGAATCAAAGTGGGTGTAGGATTCAGGTCATTAGATCTGATAATGACACATAATACACTTCACAGAGGTTTAACTCTTTTTGTAAGGAAGCTGGAATCTAGCATTAGCTCGCTGTTTCGTAGTCTCCATAGTAAAATGGAGTTAGTGAGAGGAAAAATAGAACCATTATAGAGATAACTAGGTATCTGTTGCATGAGAAGAATCTGCCAAAGGAACTTTGGGCAGAAGCAACAAATACAACAGTTTTTCTGCTGAACAGATTGCCTACAAGTGCATTGGAGAAAAAGACACCCTTTGAAGCATGGTTTGGTGTCAAGCCAACTCTAAAAAACTTGAATGTGTTTAGCTGTCTACGCTACTCTTATATTCCACAGGTCAAGAGAGACAAGCTAGAAAAGAAGTCTGAACCAGGAGTATTTGTTGGCTATGGCCTTGTGTCAAAGGCCTACAGAATATATCAGCCAAAGTATGGAAATGTAATCACTAGTAAGGATGTTCAGTTCTTGGAGGCCGAAGAGTGGAATTGGGCTAATGACACTCAGAATGAACTAGAGAAGGTGTCTTTGGAATTAGAAGAGCTGGTGGATGACATTCCAGTCAGAAGCACCAGATATTTGGTTGATATATACGAGAGGTGCAATGTGGCTGTTCTGGAGCTAGCAGGCTTTGAAGCAGTCAAAGATGATTAGAGATGGATAAGTGCAATGAAAGAGGAGATGGCTATGATAAAAAAATAGAAGTGGGAGTTGGTGGAGAAGCCTAAATACAGGAAGATCATTGGACTGAAGTGGATCTTCAGGACTAAACTCAACCCTGATGGCTCGGTGAACAAACATATGGCCAGGTTAGTAGTAAAAGGTTATGCACAGGTTTTGGGAGTAGACTTCTCTGAAACATTTGAACATGTAGCAAGGTTAGATACTATTAGACTAGTTCTTGCCTTAGCTGCTCAAAAGGGTTGGAAAGTGTATCAGTTATATGTCAAATCAGCATTCCTAAATGGAGTGTTGCAGGAAGAGATTTATGTTAAATAACTAGAAGGATTCATCATACTAGGTCATGAGCAGAAGATATTTGTGCTAAAGAAGGCTCTGTATGGCTTGAAGAAAGCACCCAGAGCATGGTACAACAAGATGGATGGGCATTTGCTGAGCATAGGCTTTAAGAAGAGCCTAAGTGAGCCCACTTTGTATGTTAAAAAGTTGGATTCTGACTTGATTATTGTATCTCTCTATGTGGATGACTTGCTGGTAACAGGAGGAAATGAGGCTTAGATCATTGTGTTCAAGCAGAATATGATGAAGGTATTCGAAATGACTGATTTAGGTTAAATGTCCTACTTTCTTGGCATGGAGATCAAACAAGCTCAAAACGAGATCTTCATATGTCAAAGGAAGTACTTGAAAGCAATCTTGAAGAGGTTTGGTATGGAGGAGTGCAAGAGCGTGAGTACTCCAATGGGTAATAAAGAAAAACTGCAAAAGAATGATGGAGCTGACCCTGCAGATGAAGGACTTTACAGGAGCTCAATTGGTTGCCTAATGTACCTCACAGCAACCAGATCAGACATCATGTTTCCTGAAAGTGTCCTGTCCAGATTTCTAAATTGTGTAAGTGAGTTGCATATGGTAGCTGCAAAGAGGGTACTGAGGTACTTGAAGGGTACTATCTCATATAGGATTAAGTTAGGCAAAGTTCAGGACTTTAAGTTGCAGGGTTATTCTAATATTGATTGAGCTGGATCAGTAGAAGACATGAGACGTACTTCTGGTTATTGCTTCACATTTGGGTCAGGATGTTTCTCTTGGTGTTCAAAGAAGTAAGAGCAGGTGGCTCAATCAACTATAGAAGTTGAGTTCATTGTAGCAATTGCAACTACAAATCAAGCAATATGGTTGAAGAAGCTGATGGATGATCTGCATTGTAAAGCCCCGAAAATTTAAATATTATGTGAAAAATAAAAATAAATATACTATATGGTGAAAAATAACATATTTTGATGTTTGAGTATGATAGGAATTGATTTCAGATCAATTCAATGTATATTTACGAATATATGAGTGCAAATGCACAAAACATGTACGAAGAGAAATCTAAAAAAGTAACCAGTTAAGAGTTTATATGTTTTACACACCGATGCAGTTTGAATCTAGAAAAAATTATAAGATCAAAGTTGTAGGTATCTTCAACATATTTCTAAAAAATCTTATACCACATCATTCTGAGGTCGCATGAGAAAGTTACAGCCAAAATACCAAAGGTTAATTTCCCAATCAGACTCCTGGTCCAGGGCAAACAGGTTTATTTCGGGTTTGCATATATATATATATATATACCTATGTTTTCATGAAAATTATCAACTTTACATTAGGGTTTCAGACCCTAGAATCCCCACTTTCTCTCTTTCAAACCCTAGCCCTAAATAGAGTTTTTGGGAGAGTTTGTGAGGAGAACGTCGAGGAAAAATCGGGAGTTTTGCTGTTCGGCGATAGGGTAATCACTTGATGTTCTTTTCAGAGGCTTGTACACGTGCAAAGGAAAGATTACCTCTGTTCAAACCTTTCTCTTGAATAAAAATCATGTTTTTAAGAGATTTATATGTTTAACTTTATATTTAGGGTTTAAATCTAATGTTAAACATGTTACATGTGATGTTTATGATTAAATATTATGTCAAGAACAGTAGAATGAATCTAAAACTGAGATATTGATATGATCATCATCATTAGAGTTTATTTTAATGAGTTAATTACAATTTAATATGATTTATATGCTTTAGATTGTCGGAATAAACAAGAATTAGATTGTTTTGCATGTTAAACCCTAGATCTATGTGTTCATGTGATTCATCTTGTTTAAATGAACTCCTGGTTAAGTATACATGACAATAGAATAAAGTTTTATTCTATAATCTGATAAAACCCAAGTTTTTGAAGAAAACATGAGAGAAGAACAAACTGTACATTTTCGGCTTATTCAGTCAACTGAAGTTGCCATGAGTCGACTGACGGGAGGTCATCTTGATGGCAAGCATCAATCGACTGACGGGCTTTTGTTTACCCTATTGTTTTGTGAACGATCGTATCAGTTGACCGATGAGGTTATCGGTCGACTGATCAGGTTGGCTTTTGTAAGATTGAACCTTTTGCTTGTGTGTTCGTTTGGTGAGCATTTTTGTACAAGACGTGAGCTGATATTCATACATAGTTCGGAGAGTATACGTACGGGGATTGAGTACGCATGATTACATTTTTTAGGGTATCCAAATAGGTTACAATCATTAAGAGTAATGGCTATTATTATATATATTATAATTATGATCAGTTGGGTAGGGTTAGTTAGGTCCCGCAACGAGACCACGGATGGACTATACTCCGAGTGCTTTAGTCAGGTCCTGCAATGAGACCGCAGATGGACTACACTTTTTATTGGTCCGTATGGAGATGTGTGGAGGTTAATATACCTATCTATTGGTCTGCATGGAGATGCATAGAGGTTGAAATACCTATCTATCGGTCCGCACGAAAATACGCAGAAGTTGATATACCTAACTATCGGTCCGCATGGTTATGTGATGAGTTATTATACTTAGTTATTGGTCCGCACGGGAGTGCGATGAATTGATATACCTAGTTAATTGTTTGCACAGGAGCACAATGAACTGACATATCTATTTACTAGTCCCCACATGGGTACGATGAGTTGAAGTATTCCAGAGAAGGATGATTCGATAAATAACCTAAGTGTAGGTGAATATTGACATCATCGATATTATCCATTGTGAAAGTATTTCATAACTTAGTCACACAAGTGTGTCAATATCTTTTTTACCCACTAAGGGTAGTATGAGGATTTGATATGATATTTTTGGAGATCTATGATGTAGTATTTCCTGTATTATCTTTCTTGTATTCATTTATTATTAGTTTTGGAGTTAATATTTAGCGGTTCAAAATTTAAGACATATGATATATACGTGAGGGTTTTCTTGTTTGGATTATTTTGCTTGATGTATCAATCTCGTGTTGTGAGTTTCTAAGTATTAACCCTAGTTTAGTACAGGGTATATGAACTAGGTAGACTATGTACTTATAGGTAGAGCCTCCATCATACCTAGTAGCCCTTCCCTTGGGGACGGATGGAGATGATCTTTCTTGCGCTCTAACGCTATGGTTTTCACTTTTTTTCAAGCAGCGGAGCAAAGTTTCGGAGAGCCGCAGATTAACAGATTTTCAGCATAGTCGTCATTATATATGTTTAGTAGTTCTACTCCACAGATGTTTAGTTTATACTTCATGATGATGTTTAGATTTGTATTACATTTTGAGAGCTGAGAGAACTTATGTACTTTCCAGTTGACTCTTGTAGTTGAGATTTTAGATCATTTATTTCAGATTGTTAGACATATTTTCTTTTATATCCGTTGAGACCTGATTATTTGGAGATTTATCAAATATTTATGTGTTCTATTTCTTGTCTTCATTTCTTTTATATCTGCTTGTACTTGTACTGTCTTATTTGTTTTCACTAGAGGGATATTCCTATGATTGTGAAACATGTTATTGCACAGTATAGGTACATGGTAGGTTTGATATCCTTGGTTTCACCTTGGACTATAGCCTTGTGTGAACCCGGGGGTGTCACAGTTAGTATCATAGCTCTAGTTCCAACATCCTTAGGATCATCCTATGTTGAATCGTGCAGGTAGGATAGGGTTTCCTAGGATTCATGTATAGAGTCCGCTAGGAATTCCTAGAATGAGTAAGGACGTAATACGTATACCTCAAAAATTATAAAAAAAAATTTATGACTACCTTACTTTGATTGAAAAGTATTTGTGTGAATACTTTGTGATATGTTATGTTATGTATATATATTTGCACCTCTTTTACTGTGTCTATTAATCTCTCCTCTTTATATTATAAATGTCGGGACGAGGATGCGGTCGAGATAAAACTAGTACCCGGAGAGCTGGGCAAGCAGAGCCCGAGCCACATCAGGCACTATAGTATCTGATTGACTTCTTAATGCCGATCGCAAAAGCAAAGACTAGCAACATTCGAGGAGCGAGTAATGAGCCACATTACATTTTCTGGAGTTCTACCACCAGTTGTACTAGTCGTGCCTTTTGAAGAGGCAATACTAATGATTTCACTATCACCACAACCAGCTGTTGATAGAGCCGTAGAGCAGGAGGCTTGGCTCTGTAAGAATAAGAAAGACATCAGACACTGAGAGCACTATAGTTTCAGGGCACACCGGACTCATGTGCAGCCTATAAATAGAAGAAACATGTGAAAATTTCTTAACGTCGACTCGGTACTAAAGCGGAGTTAGATGTATTCAGCGTAAAGGATAATACTGACTTTAGATTTTCACCGGAGTAGCGAATATCACTTATTTGGGAAAATTTTGTTTGCTTCTTTAACAAACAGTAGAGCTAGCCCGATTAAAACGGGGAGATATACTTGTAGTTAATTATGGAATCATGACTAGCATAGTGATAATAACAAGGGAAGAGACCTGTTGCGGAATCTAGAGAGCTCAGGTAGCAGGGTAAGGATTTTTACCGCCAGCAACAAGGACAACATAAGAAGAGAGCACAACCTACAACATGATTCGAGAGCCCCACAGCAATGTAGAAGTCAACGTACATGTTACAAGTGTCGTAGTACACCAGCAGGAGGCCAGCATGACAAAGGTCAAAATCAGTAGTCTCAGGGCCGGGGTTACGGTAAGTAGCAGAGGATTTGAGATACATCCAGCCGTCTCGAGGATTAAAGGGCTAGTAGGCCAGATTCATACCATCCAGAAGATTCCTAAGGGACAAACAGTCCCATATGTTCCACCACCATCAGTATAGTAATCGCCAGCCACCGGCAAGGTTTATGCAGTCGTACCGCGTGATCATTGGTGTAAGCGAAGCTTTCTTAGTGATTTCCTTCCTAGCTCGAATCTTGTTGATTCAGAAGTTTTACATTCTTTTATCTATCATGATGTCATGATTCGACATTAGCTTGTAGCGCAGACTTTAGGCATTCTATTATCAGTTTCCACTCCTTTGGAAAAGGTGTCTCTCTTAGAGAGTATCTATAGAAGATGTGTCATCAGTTTAGACGAGTCTGGGTCCATGGTTAATTTAATCGTACTGCAAATGTTCGATGTTTGATGTTATTTTTGGTATGGATTAGTTATCATCCTACCACATTAGTACAGACTCTTTTGCAAAGACAGTCAGCTTGTGAGCATTCAATGGGTTTGTATAAATAGTAGCAACCTCATAGGGTAACCAGAATGCGGAGTTATTTCTAGCATATGTCAAGGTGGTGATGATACGGGATCGGAGTGTAAATTTGAGTGAGACTGGAGTCATCTCAGAGTATCAAGATGTCTTTCAGGACATGTCGAGATTTTCTCTAGTGAGAGAGGTTTTTTCCTACATCGAGTTGCAGTAGGCACCCTATCATATCACACCCGCTGAGATAAGAGAGCTACAGACTCAGCTAGATGAATTATTATCCCAGAGTTTCATTTTCCAGAGTTGTTGTCATGGGAGCACCGGTCCTCTTCGTGGAGAAGAAGGATGATAGCAAGCAATTATGAATAGATTATAGTGAGTTGAACAAGGTCACTCCCGCATTAGGTATCCACTATCAAGGATTTATTACTTGTTTGACTAGCTGTGGGGAGCGTAGCATTTTTTGAAGATTGATATTCATTATGATTATTTTTAGTT